AGCTCTGGAGTGCAGCAAAGGAGCCAGCCCAATAGCTCTGGAGTGCAGCAAAGGAGCCAGCCCAATAGCTCTGGAGTGCAGCATACTCATAGAGTCTGACTTTAAGACAGATGATTTTGAACTATGTGGAAGGGATATTGATCTGTAACCTAGAACATTTTTATGGTTAAAATTTCCATGTCTGCATATACACCTATTTTTTTGCCCGCAAAAGATTTATAATCTTATTTTATAACGGGTGCTGGCAGCAAGCACGGCCTTCCATTCTTCACATCCTCGGTTCCCCTGGATACTGGTCACTTATTGACTATTGTCTCTAAAGATCGTGACGGTAGGATTTTCAGTGTCAATGGCCAGGAAATGGTGAGTGGAGCCATCCTGATTTCTAGCCTCTGTCTTGTTCTCTTGCGGTTTCTTTCTTTCACACCTGCATCAGAACAAAAACTGAACCTATTTTTGCACTTGCATGAATTAACTTGTCTCGGATTTCTGCCAAAACGAATCCTGCAATGTATCAGCCCTATGGTATATCATTCACACCTGCCTACTTGCTATAGGATGAAAATAAAGTGAGACATTTCTAATTGTCCCAGAATTGGTGACTGCAATCCCTTCTATAAAGAAATGGTATTAAGCACATCCCATCCTCAAGACAGCTGTCAATCATTAGGGTTATACATGTCACTCAGGTTGGAACCTGCTCCATGTCTTTTCTGCTTTTATAGGAAATGAATCAGATCAGGGTGGGGAAAAATTATCTACCTAGACTATAGCATGGGAGAAGAGGAAAGAGGTTTCCAATCATCCTCAACAAATCAACATGGATTGGGTATGTTCAGAAAGAGTTAGTCTTTGTGATTTTGCCTGGCATCTGGGTCCTTTGTTGATATTTACCAATGTGTATGCCTAACTGGGTGCTACAACAAAGCAGACCATTTTAAGAACAAGGTGAACGTAGGATTCCACACCATCAGTAAAATCTACCAGCAGTTGCCAAATTAAGGCAGAAAAGCTCCCGAGATGTTTTCTCAACACAGTGAGCTGCTCAGTTCCCCTAGGAATAGCTTGTGTATACTCCCTATCATTGTTCTTACTCTCACCAACCAAATTCCTGAGATTTAGAGAATTACAAATTCAATAAACAGAAATTCATACGCTCTTCTACACAGTTGACATTAAGTCAATCTATATAAGAACTCTAATGAAGTGGACTTTCTTAATGTCTCTACTTTGTGGATGAAGAAGCTAAGTAAAAAGAGGATTAAGTAATGTGCCTGAAGTCACATAGCTAGGATCGGACTGGATCACACATGCAGAATTGCTTTCCTAACCATCCCTGTCCTTGTTCATCTCTCATCCCAGGCTTGCCCTGTCACCTATTCTACAAAGAGTAGAGTGAAGACAGATTGAGAACCTGCTCCAGTGAACAGCACTCAAGACAAAAACCTACACAGCACCCGAGTATAGAGAAACAATGGGACTTCTGTCAAGTGCAAGAGCCTTGGTGGGCGAGAAGAGGAGGGCTGTCCCTCGGTGGTAGGATGCTTGCCTACCACTTTAGAGCCCGTCAGTTCGGTCGCTAGCACTGCACAGAACACGAGGAGAGTAGTGGTAACTCTAAACTGGCTTAATCTGTATTTGCAGTTAACTGAAACCAATAACACAATGAGTTTCCCAAATGTCACAGAAGCACAGACACAGGGCTAAGCCCAGTCAAAAGCAAGGGGCACGAGAAGCAGGAAAACTGTTTCATATTTGTACCTGAGGAGTTTGGGATGCCTGTGAACAAGTCTCATGTTAAACCGGCTCCTGCCCCAATACCTTGTTCCAGCTCCCAGCATACCTTGCTGAAGTACAGAGAAGATCCAGAAGATACGACCCCACAGCCTTGCTCTGGCTTTACAATTTCTCCCCCAATAACTTCTTGCCAGTCAGATTCCCAACCGGTCGGGTTCTCGAAATCGGACATAATTGTAGAAGGAAGGGCAGCCTCTGGGTGGCATTCTGTCCCTTGGTAACCCTGGTCACACCTGTAAGCAGTGCGTAATAACCAAGTCATCTGCAGCACAATGGCTCTCCTGCTTAGGATATTCCTGACATGTTCCCTCAGCTCTCAGCCTTATGCTAGATTTTTCTATAGCATTAATGTGAGATATGGTACCATCTCTAGCAGAATGGGTAGAATCTTCAGTTATAGGCATTATGTTAAAATTGTAGAATTAAAGATTAAGAAGTTACGAAGAATGACACATGGGCTCATGTGTGTTTGTGCGAGAGAGAGGGGGATTGCCCCATCACTTTAAAAATGTCACGTAAGTAGGTTCACTTTTTCAACTACCATGTCCCTCTGGTGATATTCTATAGTTCCTTCTGATTAAATCATATGTATTTGGAATCTTTAAGTATTCAAGTATAATCACTTTCTTCCCATGTGCACAACCTTGAGCCTTGGGTAAAGTGGCATAGGAGAGAATGCTGCAAAGTTTGACTAACTGAAGATGATGGTAGTAGGATGGGGAAAAAACAGCAGAGCTTTCAAAATAAACCCAGCAGGCTTTGTCTTGGGTTTAGATTTAGAGGTTCAGAATACATGGCTTTACATGCAAAATAAGAGCAGAAGGGAGATTTGCTTTTCTTTTGGCTATTTTGTATGAGTCTTTGCACTGACTTGGGAAATAACTGCCGGGATAAACCCACAGACACAAACCCTGAGACACAGGAGCGGGTCACACTCTTAGGAGCACATACCTGCACATGCCATGGTCACATGAGCCATGCCCACTGCACATGTTGGGGCATTGCTGCCCAATGTAAATGTTGTCTAAAGCCCACTCATCCTGAGCTGTGTAATAGCTCTGACTCCAACGGAAGCGGGTGGCACTGGACCTAGGAATAAAGCAGGCAATATCAGTTGAACCCTGGTGTTTCTCACTAAGAATATCAGAGTTCAGCACCTTTCTGATAACGAACCCTCCAGAACTTCTATTTAGGCTCCTAGCATTTTTCTTCAGCTTAATTTCCACTCCATTATTTTGCAATTCAAGAGCCCAATCATGAAAGAAGGTTGAAAAAGAACCTGCCTATATTATAGTTTAATCTTAATTTAGTTGTAGCATTTTAAAGAAATGTAGAAGGCCAGACTTTCTGTTGTTGCTCAAACTTTTGATTCAAGAAATGAAGGAAATTCAAAAGTAGAAGCTACCTACTGAAAGAAGCATGCTTCTCACAGATGAGAATACAAAATATTTTACCTGGAGTAATAGACTTTCTCAAAACAGTCATACCAGTCATTATTGAAAGATTTAATTTGGTTCAGAATATAAAGCAAAAACTTTGGGGTGCAATTTGGGGGCAGAGAAGACACCCTGAGAAGTTCTATTTAGAAAGGGATCATCTGCATGTGAGAATGTGCTTCTTTCTGAAACACAAACTTGCATGAGTCTCCTGGGCCAGCTGACCTTAAACAGAGAAGGGAAGTTAAACACAGGCAATGTGGGGTCCAACTTAGCTCCTTGAAGTCAGAGTGTAAAGAAGATATTTTGAGGATCATATTTAAAAAGGCTTAAAGTCAGTGACTACTTAAAAGTGTTAAAAAAATAATACAGAGAAATTTTCACCTATAGGAATTCTCAGAGATCTGAGATGAGTTCTTTTGGGTCAAAGTGCTAAAACAACAGCAGCAGCAGCAGCAGCAAAGGCTTTGAAGAATTCCTGTGCATAGCTGTTGATTGCAGCCTTCCCTACCTCACTCTATGGACACACTTGATCTGTCTTTGAGTGACCCGTAATAATCTGCACCGATTTACATATTAAGCACACCACGAGTGTACAAGAGACTGTTAAAAATTCACACTAAGATTTTGTTTATTTTGTCAACAATCTGTTCCTAATATTTTTCGTTTTTACCTGTAGCGGGATGATTCCTTGTTTCACCCAGGGCCTCCCGTAGACAGGTTTATTTGCATATCAGTACGTGTCATGGGAAATAAGACAGAGGCATCTCTGTGGTAGTAGGCCTATGCTTACAATTTAATAGCCATCCTGATTTTCATAGTACCGTTACAAGCTGGCTTTTAGAAAAGCCTACAATAAAAGTAGATTTTATTGGAGTATTGTGGTGGTTTGAATAAGAACGGCCCCCATGGGCTCACATATTTGAACACCTGGTCATCAGGGAGTGGCACTAGTTGAGAAGGAATAGGAGGTGTGGCCTTGTTGGAGGAAGTGTGTCACTGGGGTACACTTGGCCCACACCTGGCCCAGAGCCTCTCTTCCTGCTGCCTAAGAACCAGGATATAAAGGTCTCAGCTACCTCTCCAGCACCATTTCTGACTATGTGCTGCCATGCTTCCCACCATAACGATAATGGGCTACATTTCTGAAACTGAAGCCAGCCCCAGTTAAATGTGTTCCTTTAGAAGAGCTACAATGCAGCCACTTCTGATGAGAACTGATAGTCTAAGATCAGAAAGAAGGAGAGGAATACCTCGCCTATCAGTGGACTTGGGGAGGGGCATGCATGCAGAAAGGGGAAGAAGGGTGGGACCAGGAGGGGAGGAGGGAGGGGCTTATGGGGGGTACAAAATGAATAAAGTGTAATTAATAATAATAATAATAAATATTTAAAAAAATAAAAAAAAAATAAAAACATTAACAAAAAAAAAAAAAAAGAAGAAGAGCTGCCATGATCATGGCATCTCTTCACAGCAACAGAAGACTGACTAAGATAAGCAGAGTGACTTGTGGGATTGAACAAACAAAACTCACAGGCCACTGTCAGCATCAAATGGAGAGAGACTACTCTACTCTTTTAAAACTGACTATAGTCTGAGTCATGTTCAGAGTCCACAATGACCAGTCCGTGGTCTTCTGAATATAACTACAGCACTCATCTCAGTAGCTCGAACAGGAACAGAATAAATCAGGTGTTCAAAAAACACTGTGCTACTGAGTTCATGTCAGGGACAGCCCCTCTTCCCCTTACTAGGGAACCCCCTTGAGCTGCTGGCTCTCTGGTCACCTCCTCCCTCTCCCTTGCCACCCCAGGCCACAGAGGAAGAATATGCAGCCAGTCCTGAGGGACCTGATAGGCTAGAGTCAGATGGAAGGGGAGGAGTACCTCCCCAATCAGTGGACTAGGGGAGGGGCATAGGAAGAGAAGAGGGAGGGAGGATGGGATTGGGAGGGGACTAAGGAGGGGGCTACATACAGCTGGGATACAAAGTGAATAAATTGTAATAAATTAAAAATAAATTAAAAAAACCCACTGTGCTAAAAATGAGTCAAGCAGGTTAGAAGAGGAGTTTGTTTTCTGACTTCCAAAGGTAACAGAATGAAGAGTGCACCAAGAGTCGGGGATGAGACTCTTAGGACTTGAGCTTTTCAGCTTAGCATCTGTGTGATCTTTAGTGAGAAAGCCAAGCTGGCAAAGGCTTTTAGTTCCTCACGTCTCAAATAAAGACAAATGGGTTTTGAGGATCCCTTGAAATCTTTGATTCCTCTAGTGATAGTTTATTTCTCTCACAGTTAGTCACCTTTAAAGTACTGATAAAAAAATTACTTTGAAGGTTTTCTATTTTCAGGACTAAAATGAGGTGGAGGTGTTGAGAAGCCCCATTTAGGTTCCAGGTTACATTCTTATAGCCACATGTGCATTTTAAATTCTTTTCCAAAGGAAGTGATCCTTGCACTCACAAACTCTTGAAGGGGTATATCCTAACCATAGAAAATTTAAAGTTATTTCACCTAAATATACTCCACTCATTGTTGTCAGTTAAGAGAAAAGCCAGAAAAAAAGGTTGAATATTGGATTCATTTTAGTGAGAAAAAAATTAATTGTGTGAGCCATCTCCAGGTGATCACATGAGAAAAGATAAGGTGTGATCACACTGATTCACAGGTTCACCAATGTGCAAAGGTGTCCTCAACAGAAATTCTTCATCTGCCAATCCATTCTACCATCTGCCTGCCCATCCATCCATCCATCCATCCATCCATCCATCCATCCATCCATCCATTCATCCATCCATCCATCCATCATCTTTGAAGAGGTCATGAAATAACACTGACTTGCATTTAAAATCCAAACATCAAACTATAGATTTCTAAAAGCAACAAAACTTGAGTCTTAATGCCACTCTTCCTCCCATAAATCTTCCTGACCAAAGCATACTGGCAACCACTCATCTCTCCATGCTTATGTAACCTGAACAGTCAAGGCAAATGAAGGCTGACTAAATTGTATTTTCCACCTTTAGAGTTTCTGTAATCACATTTGCCCAATTATTCTGAAACTCATTCAGTCATTTAGGTGTTGATTTGTTTATGAAGTCAGCAACTGACAGCTGTTTGGGTCTCATTAGGCTCTTTTCTTATGTAAATGTCCTTCATAAAAATGAAATTAATTTTCATTGGGTAACAAATGCTCAGTTCCTACACAGTGTAATTTCTCCAAACAGGTGTACCCAGTAGCTACTTCCATTTGACAATTATACCATCGAGCACTTTCCAAAGTTAACATATCTGGGATAATGCAAGGACCATGCTTGCTTTAATGTACTCAATTTACTTTTGCATACATGCTTGAGTAAAAAAAAAAAAAATTATTATTTGGTCAGGAAAATAACACTGCTTAAGACCAAACTGCCTCTTTCCCAGTGGAATGCTATTTGCAAAAACTTAAAATAAACATAATAAAAATCACCAGGAATGCTGAGGAGACTAAATACATTTAATCTTTATAGTAGAACCTTTAAGCGTTATAGACTTAGAAACAAAGCAATAACCAACTTAAAACTTTTTTTCATGTAGCAATAATATTTAGATTAACTGTGAGTCAGGGGGAATACTAAAATACATTCTATACTGGGTTTTTTTTTTTTTTAAATAATGTTTTCACCAACATCCAAAGAAGTCTGAAAGAAAATTGGAAAAACAGAATTACAGAGGGTATGTGTTTGGAGGCACATGGTAACAAGAATAAGATTTTTTAATTGGAAAATAATGTATTTTTTACTTGGCATACAAAATGTTTCTCTAATGGCATCTTCATATGAATGCTATTACACTTTGCCCTCCATTACCCTCCTTTTCCCTTTTTCTCAACCTGGGTTGGTGCCTTCCTGCTCCAAATAGGTTCTATTCTATTTTCATGTTGTATATACATATACGTCTTACATCACACTACCTCTTTAATTCACCATGAAATAAAGATTCTATTTAATTTGCTGACATTCCATGAAGACAGCTACTATGAGCCAGGCACCCTCAAGAATGTACAAAGTCAAAGAGTCACTACATTTCCAATAAACACTGAGAAGATTAACCTTTTCTGACTATAAAGAACCATCAACTCAGTGACGTTACATTTTAGGCTGAGAAATGAGTGAAACATATAATCTGAGTGCAGAATGATACACAAAGGTTATTTTCTGGCAGGAAAATACTTTTTGAATTAAAATTTGAATGCTGCCTAAACTACTATAAATAAGAATGATGATTCAGGGCTGTAGAGATGGCTCAGCGGTTAAGAGCAACGGTTGCTCTTCCAAAGGACCTGGGTTTGATTTCCAGCACCCACTGTCAATAACTACAGATTCAGGGGACTTTATGCCATCTTCTGGCCTCTGAGGGCACTAAGCATACAGGTGGCACAAAGACATACTACAGCAAAACACTCATACACATAAAAAAATAAAAAAGTGATAGTTCAGAATGAGTCTACTGATAAAAAGACATCTCTACAACACACTAGCGATCTTAAGATTGTTATTTTGAAACTAAAATCACACATGTTGATGAGTAAAATTGCTTGATGTTTTTCTTAATAATGAGAGAAATAAATTTAATTATGCAGCAACGGAGATTGAAAGCTCTCAGGAGTTTGCACTCAGAGTGATCAGAGTTTCAATTGTTAGAGGTGTTGTTTTACCGATTATTTCACTGAAATACATGCTTGGAATGTCATTGAAATTAAATAAAAATCTTGATTACATTCCCAGCAGTAGACACACAAGAGTAGAATATTAAAGAAAGCAAGAACTTATTATACAAGGCATCAATAGAGTATCTTGGAAATGGCTCACAGTGGGACATTAAAAAAAAAACCTGTGGAAATCAAATTGCAAGCATTTTATTCCAAGTGACATAATGACACAGGCTAAAAACAATCAAGGAGCCATTCTTACAGAGCGTAGTCACTGAGTCCTCAGAAGGAGCTGTAAAGCAACTCTGGGCTATCCATTTGCCTTTGTGAGGTGCCTAACTTTTACATATAAAACAGTTGAAGAAAGATCTGTTTAGTCATTTTCTCTTCATAAAGGAGGCATTGAAGGCCTACACCACAGAAAAAATACAACGCTCATTTTGCTTATGCCTTTGCTTCTACACATATCCCAGAATCCCAGAATTCCAGGGTTGTGAGGAATCTTTAAGATGAACTAAATAAAGACTAAATAAACCAATCGATAGGATTCTGCCTTGAGGCGGCGATGATAAGGGACAAGTGGCTGGTGGTCTCTGGTGGAGCTGTACTGAGAATTCAAACCCAACTTCTAGTCCAAGGCCTTTGGATAAGCTTATGCTGACTAAAGGCTGTACATATCATCCACAGCACTGAATGAAAAAAGATATTACAGTGGTTTGTCTGAGCAGGCTAAGAAAAAAAATGAAAAAATAGAAAAATGTAATCTCCGAAAAACAAAACAAAACAAAACAAACAAACAAACAAAAAACTATTGTGTTTTTTCCTTCCCTCCTCTTAACTGTCCTTTCCTCCATGTGCCCTGCAGCCCTCTTCTTCCCGAGGGATGAGTTCTGTTGTGTTACTAGAATAAAGTGTGACTAGAAAAAAAATGTGTTAAGTTTTTGATATAAAAAGTTGGGCTTTGCAATGAGGAAAAAACAAATTTGCAATATGAACTACTTAGTTTCTAGATTCCTTGCATCATTTTGTTTTGAATGTCAAACAAAGAAGTGAGCTCATCGAATTCCTTCACAAAAACAAGATTGTGGGGCAAGAAAAGAGGCCAGACACAGCTGACACCAGAGAAAACACATTTTCGTATTTCTCATTGGCTCCATTTTCGGAAAACTGGAGTATAGAAGAAATACTGGGCTTCTGGGTAGAGGGAAAACAATCTTAGAAGTCTGCTGACCTTATCATCACACTCAAGCTGTGCTAACACAGAGTAAGAACGGAAGGAGCAGCCACATGTATGGCATCATTTCTCACCAGGTTTTCTGGGGAAGAAGGACCGTGACTCTTCTCCATTGTGTGAATTCACTGGCATGGTATATGCTGGCAGAGGTAAATTCCTGGCAACTTGGCATACTGGGAAGGCATTCCTGAAAGAGAGACAGAAGCCAAACTCAGCTTCCATTTGCCCACTGGAGATGTTCCATCTCCCATTGCACAACAAAAGGACCTTATAGAAAGCCAAAGCCATAATCTTAACTGCTGTTTCTAGGGATCAAATTCCTTCTGTGAAGCTAAAAACATAGGAGAAGGAATTACAACTGAGATGTCATCATAGAATTAAACAGCTTTCAGTTCTTACCATGAACAGAAATGGATGGAGATTAATTTTGATCTATTAACATGAGCATTTATAAAATTTATTTTATGTGCTATAATAGTTTTGCATTCACTACACTGTCAGAATACTGGTATGTGCATGTGTGTGTTCTGTAAATTTATTCCAAATTTTACATTATAGTTCTTATTTGTTTGTTTCTGCAGTCTCAGGAGGCACCACATTCCTTTTATAGTCTACCCATGGTTAGAAAAAAATAGATGGAAACATGCCACATGGGAAGAAGAGACATGTTTTCAGAGGAAGAGAGCCAGAGAACTAATAATCAAACACCATCCAAGAGTAACCAGTCCTGGGTTATGCTTACTATTTTATTTTTTATTTCCAGTTGCTCTTTGGTATCTGATCCTAGTGGGGCGTGATCTCTTTGTAATGTTTCTAACTTGATCTCAGTTCCAGGCTGTACACTGTTATTTCTTTTCAACGAAAGGAAAATGGTTCTAAATCATGAGCCTTAAGAAAACATACGTACTTCTTGGACAAGGTGCCACGTAAGGCCGTGGTTGGTTGAATATTCCAGCTTCACCTGGTTGTCCATGTGAGGGGTGTATTTCTGGCCACATCCCATCACCAGGCTGAACTGAATCATATAGGACGCTCCAATCTGCATGGATTGTGTCTCCACATAGCGCATGCTTGAGGCAAGCTTAGAATCTCCTGTGAAACTGAAAGAAACAAGGTGGAAATTGGACACTTCTACTGTGCCATGAGTCAGCGAGAGACTGAGTTGTCACTCTAGAGGCCCACACAGCCGCATTTTACTTATTTAAACTTTGCCAAGCTGTAGTAAGTATAACAAGTTCAGTTTAAAACAAAGAAGACCTTTAAAACACATTAACACGTAAGGTTTTTCAGATGTATCTGAAACTGAGGACGCCTCTATTACTCTCATTAATCTTGGCAGCTGGGATCTATCTAAAATAAGCAATTCTACATTCAAAGCTAATCTTATAAAAACATGGCGAATATTAAGTGATTACCTATATTACTAGTGGCCTCAGAGCCTAAGTAGAGGAAAACGGAATAGGCACCTGTTAACTGGAATAGGCACCTGGTGGAATACCAGCTATATTTCAAATACTGATGAAGTTGATACAAATACATTAAAATGCATCTTATGATTAAGTTTTAATACTATCCACAAAATACTACATAAGGGCAACTGAGTAGAATATTTGTGGTGGTGGAAAATTTGACGATTTAGTATTTTTTTTTTCGTTTCGCTTATTTTCAAAATATTTTTAATGCTCATGAATTCAGTATTGAAGATATTATCATACATTTTTAATCTTTGTGCCCAGAGTCAGTCAAACTCAAGTTTTGGTTGTCAAATCAGTACTCTATCTACAGAGGGAAGATGTCTGAAGGCAGACAAAAACATTATTTTTTAGAAAGAAAAAAAGAACTCAAGGGATTTGTAATCTATTCAGGATTAAACTATGGACAGCTTTGCACTTTAGTGACATGGGTCAATGTCAGGCACCGTAATGTCGACTATACTCAGATTATCCACCAGCGTACTTGTGTCTTCCGTTCTGAAGCAGCCAGTGCTACTCAGAAATCTTCTCTATAGTGACAGGCAGAGTAGATATGCCGAAAGGAACTAGTGTAAAGCTCTGTGAAATATTTGAAATATTTGATTCATTTGCTGTACTTCATTAATTATCTTTTGTGGAATCCAAGAAACATGAGCAACTACCGTGACTTGATCCCACTGGAGATTAAGATGCTATTTGAAAATGAGTGTGAGGAGAAATCACTTAGGGCAGAGTGTTTGTTACACAGCAAGAGGCCCTGGGTATGATCTCCAGCACCCACGTGCAAAGCGAGGCGTGGTGTGGAGACAGGTAGATCTCAGGTTCACTGGCCAGCCACCGTAGCCTAGTCAGCGAGCGTAGGTGTCAGTGAGACTGTCCCAGAAATCAAAGTGGATGGCTTCTGAGGAACGATACCCGAGGCGACCTGTCTTCCATACACATGAACACATGAACAGAAGAGAATGCATCCATTTCCTCAAAAGAGAATGAATAACAATTACTGTTTAACAGTTTTTAAACTAAGACTTCTCACTTGAACGATGAATGTGGAAAGTAAACAGAAAAGCCTCAATTTTCAGTTCAGTAGAAGTCATATTCACTACTGCTGGCATTGTAAAGGTAGCTAAGGAATAGAAAATGCTACAACTTGCTCAGGATTAAGAATGGTGCTTATCATTTGTAGATTCTCAACCAAGTCCTAAGACTGGACTATGTACAATACCCACATTCTCTTCTTTAGAGTCAAGCTGCCAGTAATGCTGTGTAGTGGGGACAATTATTTTCTTAAATGAATAAGGAAACAGGGTAAATGGTAGTAAATGGTAAAGTCTCAATGAGAAATCATTGCCGGACTCCAAAGCCCCACTTTTCAATTACTCTAAGATTGAGGGAAGCATTGCAATTTGAAATAAATTTTCTCATAGCCATTGTATAAACCATGAGCTTTCCTTTATTAAACAGTGTTACTGTGATGTGAAAAATATAAACCATGTCAGAGCACATAACATGCAATCCTGGAAGTGTAAAATACTTTACGTTTTTAGCAACACTGGCGCAATGAAAAACACACAGAACAAAAGCAGTAACGAACCGCACAGATACAAACTTACCCGTGTCATTCCCATGATCTTTTAAATGGCCATAAAAGTTTTCCAACTTTAAATACTTTTTTTTTCTCTATGAGAATTAAATGCTGTTTTTAGCCTTGGGAGCTGTTTTTGCATCATCATTTAGCATGGAGGTCATGCTAAATGAGAGACAACGAGGCTTCGTTTAACCTGCTTTGTGTTTAAAAAGTACCCTAGGTCTCCTGGACATCTTGGGAAGATATCCTATGTGAAACATCATACAGGACCCTACGGGTCTACAGGTGACAGCCACTGAACTCTCACCTCTGCCATGGACAGTCCCACTTCCCGACCCCAGAGTTTCTGAAAACAGTTAAGATTATTTCTGAGAAGGTTCAATGCCCTCATTCTAAGCAGAAACAGAAGGAAATTTACAAACATCCTCTGTGTTCCCCACCCCTTTGTGCGGTTACGAAGGTAGAGATTCAAACCCGAGAGAGGTTTCAAAGTTGCTAAGACACCAAGGAAGGAGCAAGTTAAAGATTATACTGGAGCATTAACAGCAAAACCCTTGCTAACACCTCCGGGTTGCAGCTGTTACACGGGTGTCCTGGGCTGTTAGAGCAGATCTTTTCTGGGCTGGTGGCTGTAACTGTCAGCCCGTCTCCCTTCTCTCCCCATCCTTCAGACTCAGTCACAGTGTGTGTACCGCTGAGTCATCGATTTGCTTATTTGGTTTTCAGGCTTTTTGTTCTGTTTTAATTGAAAGTATTTCTTTTTTTTTGCATGTGATATATTCTGATCACGGTTCCCCTCCCTTAACCCCTCCAGACATGGATGGAACTGGCTGCCATATCCTTTTGCCTATTCCTCCTGCGGACTTCCTGTCTTGCCTGGCAGCCCTCAGCTGGTGGAACCCATGTGGCCTTGCTGCAGATGGAGTCTTTCTGCAGACAGCGCCTCCAACTCTGGTGGCCTCTTTAATTGCTCCCCAGCCTGGGCCATCTATTCCAAGGCTGCCTGTTATAAGTGACAAATCAGCTTCTACTTCTGTTTATGCTACAGTCGGTCATTCTTGGTTTTGTTCTAACCTAGAACTGAATGCATTTCTGACTGACACACCTGCCTTGCTCCATGGTGCGGCATATCTATCCTGATTCCTTCCTCTGAAACAAAAGAACAGGAGGAAAGTACGGATATCCATGCTTTAAACACCGGCCTTTCACAGCAGGGTTCACATGATTGTTTCTGATTTAGGCAAGGTTAGCTGAAAACCAGCAGTACGACACTGGGTCTGCTGCCCGGCTCCCCCAATGTCCTTATTCAGCTGCGGTTTGGGAAGAAGAGAATCTGATGGGCTGAGTCCTTCAATTTACAGAACTGCTCCTCTGCTGCATGCCAAAGTCAAGGCAAAAATGAACTGAATTGATTCTGTTGCAAGCATTAAAATGTAGCAAATAGGCCACATCAGCATTTTTGGGGAGGAATTCTGGGGACAAAAATCCTCTGGGAATCATGATGTCTGGCGAGGGTGTTTCAAAATAAAGAAACACCTTTTAAAAAGTGACTGCATCTGCTCACAAGCTTTAATGAGGGACTGCGGATATCTCGTTCCATTAGACAGGGTTCTCTCTCTCGGCATTCCCAGGAAGACTTGTCCAACAGACACACCTTCATCTAACCTGAATCGCCACAGGTCAACACTGACTCTGTGGTGCAGCTCTTCTGCCTGCCCCTCCCTTCCTGTTGCGGATACTGGTCCTGTTTTCAGGATCAGATCGGAAGCCTCTTCCCCAGGGGAGGAAGGGGCTCATACCTCGCTCATCTAAGCAGCCCCTAAAGATGCAGAACTGTGCCGGAATCCCATAAAAGCAACCTGTGTGGCACATTTGGGCTTCTAACAGCTAGATGACCTCATTTGACCTTTGAGTTGAAACCATCTGGAACCTTACCTGGAATAGGTGACAGTAGAGTTGTTCCCAGGGCTGATAAAAAGCTGGCAGAAGCATTACAGAGAGCCCTTCTGTTCTGAAGCCTTTTCCAGTGTCATGCTGTGTGCGAATGTGGTCTTTGAATGAGGGAACAGGAGGGCCTTACAAAACCATCATTACTTAAATACTTAACCAACTCAGACAAGGTTTTGGTGACTTCTGAGTAAAGACACTTTATTTCTGGTGTCTTTTCCATCTCTGGGGGTGGGAGAGTCTTCTGTGCCTTCAGTCAGAGTAAGGGAGACAGTAAGCAAATCCACGCCAAGCAGATGAGTCACCCAAGGACTGAGCCTCTTTGGACATTGTTTTATTTAGAAAATAAATATGGCTGAACTCTCATTACTGTATCACGGGGAAAGATGGCAGTATTATTTAAATTTCCTAGAATTTAGATAATATTCTGTATTTTTTCCCTCAAAAGTTTCACAGGAAGGAATAGCTACGCAGAATTCTCTTGCCAAGGAATGACAGAGCTCCACGTGTTCTTTTTTAAAATTCTTGTCAGTACAATTTCAGTCCGCTGCAGGAAATGGGAGTTAACTCATCTTGGGTATCATCCTTTTGGTTCCATTCTGATCATCAGCAAAGGGATGTTTGTTCAATTTGATGGAAAACCTCGTTGATATTGTGGGGTTAAAGGTGGCGTTTTATCTCAGACGTCATTTCCACATTATTATAGCACAAAGCAAATGAAACCGTATCACTTAGTGGCTGCAGTTCCACTGTGTAGAGATGACTACTGTTCATATCTTGACATGGTTTTCTTAGACTTCACACACACACACACACACACACACACACACACACACACACACACACGCACGGCACGCTTTCTCCCTATAACACTATTAGGTAATAATGTAGATTTGCCTTTTCCTTTTGAGAATGATCTTATTATCATCTTCCTATGTTGAAAAAAAAAATACGGCGCGACGTGGTAACTGTCGGGGAAGACAGCCAGTCTCGTCGTGTGGGATTCTGGAGACGTGCGTCCATTTTTCGCCATTATAAGCAATGAGTGTGCGTCATGCATTTGTGCGGGTCTTTGTGCACTCGTGCAGTTCATCGC